CAACCTGCCTCAGAATTCTTTGCATTTCGTGGAGTTTGGCTGACAAATGTGGAAGACAGATAACAGATGGGGCCAGGTAGCTCCCACTCCTCATGTTCACTACTGAGAACCCTGGGGCAAGGTGCACCAATCTGAGACATAACAGAGAGTATTTTTCTCTCCACTTTAGATTCAACATACATTTGGGAGAGTGCATGTGTGTGCAGTGTTGGCCCCTGAACCAGGCCTGTTTGTCCACAGTGTTTCTAGCACACGAAGGACGGAAGCGGGATCAACAATCCATTGACTCCAGTTAACGATTGGAAAGGGTTGTGAAAGATGTGTTTTAATTACGTCACATCATGACATTTGTCAAAGTCAAGCATAAAACACAGAACTTATGTGGCACATTAACTGGGAAGACCGTATTATTTCCACTTCACAGTAGAAGGCTTGTAGCTACACATCTGTAGGACGATGAGAGAGTATAGAGAATCTCGAGGAGGATGGGCTGCGAGGTACGTGCCTCTAAGTCCAGCTCTCAGGAAGCAGAGGCAGACCTTCTGTGACTTTGAGGCCATCCTGGTCCACATAGAGAGTTCCAGGCCAGTCATGATTACACAGTGAGACCCTGTCTCAACAACAAACACAGGAGAACATACAGCACAGGTCTCAGTGGCCTGTTGAGCTCATGTCAAAGAAACTGAAAACCTGAGACTTTCTTTCCCAATAAGGCTATGTTTGTTCTCTGCGTATGGGTACCAAACACAGCAGCAAATGCTAATGACTGATTTATTATGCCTTTGCTTCCATTCCCTTAAGAAACAGTGGAGTAGATGAAGTCTGAAAGAAATTTGGAATGAGGAAACATGGAGGACGTGGTCTTTCTCTGGTCACAGAGAATTTTGCAGAACTATCTGTACATCAAGGTCTCATTTATCCAGGAAAGAAAAAAAAAAAAGACTTTTCCAAGTGACTCACAGTTTAAAATGTGACAAGACCAAGACAGCCTTTGCTGTAATAGGAGTGCATCATTCCCAGCATCCAGTTTCTCACCATGCCTGACAGTCTCTACCGCTAAAGAGCCTTCTATGCAAGTAGCGCAGGCCATCCTACCACATTTCCGGTGCACACAAGCATGCGGGTAGAAGGCTGGAGACATGGGCAGAACTGAATGTTCACTGACAGAATGGATAAAAGCCACAAGTGGTATTTTATTTATGAGGATGCTAGCATATTTTACCTCGGAACAGCTCCGTGAGTGCAGTAGATACCAGGATTTATAAGATTTACAACAGTTTCATGGGTTTGAAAAGATCTACGGTCTATTAAATGCTGCTTGTTAGAGAAACACACTAATAATAACCATCAATAAAAGTGTACAGAGTTGGGGCTGGAGAGATGGCTCAGAGATTAAGAGCACTGACTGCTCCTCCAGAGGTCCTGAGTTCAATTCCCAACAACCACATGGTGGCTCACAGCCATCTGTAATGAGATCTGGTGCCCTCTTCTGGCCTACTGGCATACATGGAAGGAATGTTGTATACATAATAAATAAATCTAAAAAATAATTTAAAAAAAGTGTACAGAGATGGTCTGCAGATACATGTCATCTAAGCGCTTGGGAATCTGAGGCAGGGGGTTTTCAAGTTTAAGACCAGCTTCACATATTGAGTTGAAAACCGGCCTGATTTACAAGAGCAAGACTCCAACAAGAGAAAGAGGTTATATGGAGAAAGTAAAATAGGGGTTGCTGTTGGGGGGAGGGCGTGTTTGATCACACTGTGAACCCCGAGTTAGCATTTGCGTTAATTAAACAAAATTAACCTTGAGGCAGGAAGCTGAGTTAACAACTAGTTGACAGAAAGTAATTATAGAACATCAGAGGGCATCTGGAAGAGGTAGAGAGACCTACTGAAAGGGTGCTCTCTTTGGGTGATGCTCTTTGTGATGCAGTACTTCTTTTCCAACAGTTTTCTTAAAAAAAATTAGGTGCGATCCAATCTACACACAATGCATGGCACTAGTGTTTTTCCAGTCTTGGAAAAGCTCTTGGTTGGTGGTAAGTCCCACAGCCACAGTAGTTCCCAGAAGGGGAACAAGGAAACACTACCACTCTCAAACTGGGCCTCCCCTGAGGGCGAAGAACACAGCTCGTGGTCCTTTCTTTCTGCAGCTCTAAGGGCTACACTAGGTTGGGCAAACCTGACTTCTGAGAATTTTAGAGTATAACTGAAAAAAGAAAAGCTGAGGTTTTCAAAGGAAAAAACATCATGCTCAGCTTTTCTCTGCTAGCACGCTGTCAGCTTCCTGTACCCACATAGCCCTTAGCCTTCTAATCCCTCAGGGATGGTCCTCCTCACTGCCTGAGATCCCACGGACTGATGATTTAGGTAAATTATGTGTCAGATCTTGGCAGTCATCTCTCCTATTTGTAAGAAGATCAAGTAGTCCTTTGAAAAGCAGCTGAAGGGCAAAAATATTGCCAACGCACACAAGTTTCCAGCGTAGATGGCACTGGGTGACAAAGCCCAGCACACACAGCACCCACCACACTTCTGCAGAGCCACCGCCCATCTCCTCTTTCTCCTACCATCTGGTCAGTCTTCAGTCTTCATGGCTTCCCAGCCTCTATGCACGATGTTCTCTCCATCCTTCCTCACTTCGTTTGATGGGAAAATCATCATCACCCTTGAAGCTACTGCTATGTAAAACATCCTCCTGAAGTCAGTCACCCCCTGCTTGGAGCTTTTATAAGCCTTGCTCTTATCTCTAGGGGAACATTTGTCACATTATGTCAAACTATATGGCGAGTCTAAAGTCTGGGCCTTAATCATCTATTGATTAATGTAGCCCCTGGAGGGGAGGATATATTCAATGTCTTTTGGATGATGAAGAAGAATTGCTTCATCATTGTCAAATGCTGAAATAACTTAATAATGCTGTTGACTTTCTTTTTGCTAAGTGTGATAGGAGAAAGAATCAGAGCATGATTATGTCCATTACCACAAGCTTACCCAAAGAATTGAAGAAAAAAAATCTTAAAATCAGAATGTTAAGCATGGCTTCAGTGACAAAAGTGTTTCCTTAACCATGTGCCTTTCCAGTTCTCCTGTCACCAGAACATCATGGGAAAACAAAACAGAACCGTGCCCACTTTGTTTCAAAAGAGTTTGGCTTGTTTGCAGAACTCGGGGAGGGTAAATCAAGGTCCCTCATGCATAGGGGGCCTATATCCCAAGCCCCAGAAGAGTCATTTTAAAAGATCAAAAGAGAATTGAGGTGTGTAGTGGTGGACTCTTGCCTAGCACCACAGAGATCTGCATCTGGTCTCCAGCACAACAAAGGGAAAACAAGCCAGAAAGGATTTTATGGTTGAAAGGGTTGCTTATTGAGCTCAATCCTTTACCACGCAGGAGTCTCATACAATGCCTGATGAATGCTCAGCCAGCTTTCACTAGAAACTTCTATTGTTGGGAAATGCTTACTTAAGAAGGTGTGTGATTCCCTGTTCTGACAAATATAATGTCCAAATTAAGCCCAAATCATTGGCCATCAACCGAGTCTGTCCATCCTTCCCAACTTCTTTTAAATTTCAGTCTTTGCTTCTTAAACCTAGGGCACAGCCCTCCTATAAGCTCTGTAGAGAACAATCTGCCGCTATATAATTATCCCAAGGCATTTTCAGTGCCGCTCAACCACTTTCGTATGCCTTATTGTTCAAGTTTTCACCAAGCTAATTAACGTCTTCAGGATACATTCAAATCTGTCTTTAAAATTTCTAAAGGAAAGCCTGGAGCATACTCCAAGTGAGACCTGCCCAGTGTAGACAGTTTCCTAGAACAGCGCGAACATGTGTCTAACATTCCTCTTCTCCTTTATTCCCCGCTGTTCAAACTCATACTGATCCTTACCTGAGCACAGTTGTACCTTGGCAACGGTTAGCAGCAAGAGGATGGATGAAGCCTGGGTGGGACCTGAGACAAGAGAACTGACCTGATTCTGAAAACGGCTCTCTAGCTGAGAGGCAAGTCACCTGAATAAGCTGCTGTTGTATCACAGACAGAGAAGCGTTCTAGACAGTGAGAAGCAACAGCTGACGGGAGGCAAGTGACGGCATCGGGTACCATTAGAGGATCTCGATCATCAGTTGCAGAACGTGAAAATCAGGACTGAATCCTCAGGACGAGAGAAAGCATGAGGCAAATTGAAGTCAAGAAGACTAGGGTGGAAAGGACTACATTTTAAGAGGAAACTGGGGTAGTAAGAATTAAAGAGGCTTGGAGGGTCATAAGGTCATTGAATTCCACCATTTCCACTTTTATAAGCATAAACTGTGTAAAGAAAAAAGAGCAGGCCTCCCAGGGATATGAGCAGAACAAACCCTCATATCAAGGCTAGGGAAGGCAATCCAATAGAGTCTGAAAAGAGCAGCTGGGCTAAAGAGCCAGAGACACCTCCGCTCTCACTGTTAGGAGTCTCACAAGAACACCAAGCTAGCTGGGCAGTGGTGGTGCACGCCTTTAATCCCAGCACTCAGGAGGCAGAGGCAGGTTTTGGAGTAGTTAAAGGCATGCACTGCCCAGCTAAAAGTTGTTTTCTAGAAGTACTTAGACCTTGAATAAATCACTATGGAAAACAGTGGTTGTTTTCTGTCATCTATAGAGGTTTGTTTCTAGAGGTGTTTTATAGATTGTCTTAGTTAGGGTTTCTATTACTTGAACAAAGCACCATGACCAAAAAAAAAATCAAGTTGGCCAGAAAAGAATTTATTTGGTTTACACTTCAGCATTGCTTTTCATCACTGAAGAAAGTCAGGACAAAAACTCAAACAGGGCAGAAACCTGGAAGCAGGAGCTGATGCAGAGGTCATGGAAGGAAGCTGCTTACTGGCTTGCTTCCCATGGCTTGCTCAGCCCAACTTTTTTTTTTTTAAATATATCTATATTTTAGTATGGGGGGAGGGAGTAGAAAAGAAAGCAGCCCCTCTTATACTGGGCCCTATTCAGTGGCAGCTTCTTGCTCCATAGAGTTAAGGAAGACTTTGAGGAAATAAAAGTTGTTTGGAAAAACCCAAGTGTAATTGCTTTGTATGCTGTGATGGGTAGGAGAGATGAAGTGAAGTGTAAAGGCCCCACACACCCTCCATCTTGCCTCAGACTGTGTCCTGGAACCCTGGGGCGGAGAAAGTGCTACTTTCATTCCTGCTTCTTGGGATTGTGGCCAGTCACGTAGTGATAGAGAACCACAAGCAAGAAAAGCGACAGGCCCAGAATGTTGGCGAGCTGCGCGTCCGTGATCATCCTGACCAGCTCCACTGGGCTCCAATGCTACCGCTCGCTGTACAAGCTCCAGGTAGCTCAGCCCAGCTTCTTAAAGAAACCAGGACCAGCAGCCCAGGGATGGCACCACCCACCACGGGCTGGACCCTCCCCCACTGACCACTAAATGAGAAACTGCCTTACCACCGGATCTCATCGGGGCATTTCATCAACTGAGGTTCCTTCCTCTGACGACCCTAGCTTGGCTCAAGTTGACACACAAAACCAACCAGTACACAGCCTTTGTATGACTTTGGTCACAAGATGGTCCTGGCACACCTGGAGTGCCTTGGGTACCGCACACATTACACAATAAGTACTAACATTGCCGCGGTATGATGTTTTCCTTTGGAAGTCAAACAGATTAGATCAGGGCTTTGGTATGAGGAACTTGTTTTACCCCTAAAACAACTTTATGTAACAATTAATAAACAGGCCTTGGCACAGCACTTCGAGGTTCAATTCATAGGAACTTGCTCCCTGCTGCCAGAGAGCCTGAATCACATTCTGGAGTGATCCTCTATCTTCGACTGACCCTTGCAACACAGAACTCATCTATTTTAGGTCTCTGGGCTATTCTGGCAATTGAGGCCATGTCATGCATGGGCTCCCTCTCAGGGCATGGGACCAGTCATTGGTGAGCCACTTCCACAAGTTCTGCGCCTCCATTGCCACAGCACATTTTACAGGCAGAAGAGAATGTAGGCCAAAGGTTTTGTGGCTGGTTTGGTGTCCCAGTGCCACCGCTGGAAGCCTTACCTTGTTACAGAAATTGGCCAGTTCAGGCTCCATGTCTAGGAATCCTCCTTTAGCGTCAGCCTCATGGATGCCTGGGAGTTTCTACTGCATAAAGTTTCCACATTGCCCCTCAGATACCCTCCAGTTCTCTCCCTGTATTCCTCCCTGACAACCTGATCCCTCCTCTTCCCATCTGGACCTGCCCCAATCCACCCACAAAATCTATTCTATTTCCCCTTCCCATGGAGATCCATGCATTACCCCTTCGAGTCCTCCTTGTTACTCAGCCTCCCTGGGCCTTTGGATTACAGCATGGTTATCATTTACTTCACAGCTAATATCTTTTTTTTAATATTTATTTCTTCATCATGTATACAATAGTCTGTCTGTGTGTATGTCTGCAGGCCAGAAGAGGGCACCAGACCTCATTACAGATGGTTGTGAGCCACCATGTGGTTGCCGGGAATTAAACTCAGGACCTTTGGAAGAGCAGGCAATGCTCTTAACCACTGAGCCATCTCTCCAGCCCCCCACAGCTAATATCTTATAAGTGAGTATATACCATGGTTTTCTTTCTGGGTCTCGGTCACCTTACTCAGGATGATTTTTTTTTCTAGTTCCATCTATTTGCCTGAAATTTCATGATGTCATTTTTTTAATAGCTGAGTAATACTTCATGGTGTGAATATAAATATACTACATTCTATTTATTCATGTCCCATGTTGAGGGACATCTGGGTTGTTTCCCGTCTCTGGCTATTATGAATAACAGTGCTATGAACATAGTGGAACAAGTATCTTTTTATTTTATTTATTTATTTATTTATTTATTTTTGGTTTTTCGAGACAGGGTTTCTCTGTGGCTTTGGAGCCTGTCCTGGAACTAGCTCTGTAGACCAGGCTGGTCTCGAACTCACAGAGATCCACCTGCCTCTGCCTCCCGAGTGCTGGGATTAAAGGCGTGCACCACCATCACCCGGCTAACAAGTATCTTTTTAGTAGGATGGAATATCTCTTGGGTATATGCCCAAGAGCGGTATAACTGGGTCTTGAGGTAGGTTTTCTGAGGAACTGCCATATTGATTTCCAAGTAGCTGGACAAGTTTGCACTCCCACCAACAGTGGAGGAGTGTTTCCCCTACTCCACATCCTCACCAGCAATAGCTGTCACTTGTGTTTTCGTCTTGGCCATTCTGACAGGTATAAGATAGAATTTGAAAGTAGTTTTGATTTTCATTTCCCCTATAGCTAAGCTAAGGGTGTTGAACATTTCTTTACATGTTTCTCAGCCATATGAGATTTCTCTGTTGATAATCCTGTTTAGATATGTACACCATTTTTTAATTGGATTATTTGGTTTGTTGATGTCTAATTTCCTGAGCTCTTCATATGTTTTGGCTAATAGTCCTCTTTTGAATGTGGAGTAGATGAAAATCTTTTCCCATTCTGTAGACTACCACTTCCTGTTGATAGTGTCCTTTGCCTTACAGAAGCTTTTCAGTGTCCTGGAGTCCCATTTATTATTTGTTGATCTTAGTACCTGTACTATTGGTGGAAGGCTTTTGTTTTGTTTTGTTTTGTTTTTTGTTTTTCGAGACAGGGTTTCTCTGTGGCTTTGGAGCCTGTCCTGGAACTGGCTCTTGTAGACCAGGCTGGTCTCGAACTCACAGAGATTCGCCTGCCTCTGCCTCCCGAGTGCTGGGATTAAAGGCGTGTGCCACCACCGCCTGGCCGGTGGAAGGCTTTTAAATGGGTTCTGGGACCTGAACTCAGGTCCTCACACTTGTGCTTTCTTCAATGAGCCATCTCCCTAGCCTTTGTATACATTAAATATATATGTTTTTAAAAAAAATATGTTTTGGAAAACTGACCAAAGGTGATATGAATTGGTTGGAAATGGCTTGTAAAAAAGGATGATTTCTTAAGGAGACAAGTGTATATATTTATAATATGGCTATAAAGATAACAAATATAGTTTAAACTGTATTTTTACATACTGGAATAATTTTATCATAAATATTTGGAATCAAAACTTGTGAGCAGCAAGGCCTGGTAGCAAATGCCTTTAATTCCAGCACTCATGAAGCAGAGGCGGGGGGGGGGGGGGGGGGGGGGGGGGGGGGGGGGGGACGAGGGGGGGGGACTATGTGAGTTTGAGGCCAGACTGGTCTACATATTGAGTTCTAGGCCAGACAGTGTTACATAGTGAGACTCTGTCTTGGATATTTAAAATATATAATATATATAAACTCAGTATCATCAGTTATGTCAGAATTTTCTAGGCATGGTGCTCAGTATTTGCTGCAACTCCTTTGGTATAGGTCCTTTATCCAACACCTTGCTCTTTTTCTTCTCTTATCTAATTATCTGAAACTCTAGAGGAGTAGGCACCGCCCAATGAGGGTACGAGGCTGCCCGGGTCCTATGGTTGAGATCCAGAGACCTGGGCGTGGTGACATCATCTTTAACAATAAAATGCTCCCTGGGTGAGCCAAGGCCTACATAAGAAATGCAGATCTGAGAAGCTGCAGCCCGGTTCATCCACCATCTCATTCACTCCAGTTTGACACAACACCAGTCGGTGGCACTCCCGAAGGATTGTCTCTGAAGTCATCGCATGGTAAGGCCACCTCTTAATTGCCCCTTTAGGTTCTGTGAGATTTAGATAATTGAACAAGGTTTTAATACATAACATTTTCTGCCAACATTATGCTATTTTTATTGTAAACTGTTAAGGGGAGATGAATTACGCTAAATATAGCAATAAAATAAATTTATGGTAAGAAAGTCATGAATCATCTATTCTTATGATGAAAGCTTCTTGCAAAACCACCTGAAAATACAGAAAATTGATAAACACTAGCATGATACACTTTAGAGACCTCCTTATTATTATTCAAAAATTTGGAATAAAAAGCAGGCTGGTAGAGAGACAATAACTCTGATGTAAAAAGTTAACAATAATTTATCATGTGGAGTGTATGTTTATTTTCCTGTAAGGTATTCTTATCTATATTTTAAATTCTATGGCTTCTAAGGAGCTTATCCTGCATACTAAGGTTGCAAAATTTTCCTTTCACTGTTGAATATTCATGGCTTTTACATAAAGAACAGCATTTTCTAATTTGAAATTGTGCAGGCATTTAAGGATGCTCCACGGTCTTTCCAGCTCTTTTCATGGCATCCCTATATAAGAAGTCTTTCCTCCTCAAAAGAACAAGAAATAAAGCGGAGATGTCACTAGGTCACCTGAACTGATAGGACTAGACATCAATGCTCCTGTCCTTGTGCTCCAGTGCTTGTGACTGAGCCCAGATTTTCCCATTACTCCATCCATCCATAACTGTGCAGTGTGCAGTGATGAGAAGCGAGCAGACTAGCAGGTCTCATGCTTCTGTTAAGGATGCAGTTTCTTTTTCAGAAGGAAAAATAATTCCTATTGTGTGAATCACTTAAAAAGTAGAATAGTTACTATTTTTAAAGGTGCTACTATAATAAATCTCTGCAACTGTGGACCTACAGATTAAGCCAAAAATATACATATTGACTTATGAGCAAGAAGAAAGAACTAGAAGTTATACTAAGCTGTAACTGTTAAGTTGAAGTCGTAAGATGCAGACACTCATTATCTAAGGGTCAAAGTTCCAGGAACAAGATATATGAAATTAATTGATTTTAAATACATTGCCATATTTGTGTGTGTATAATCACACACATGTGGATATGTGTGTGCATATGAGGCCAGAGGTCAATGTTGAATGTCTTTGTCTCTCATTCCCCGCCTATTTTTTTTTAAATATTCCCAATACTAGAATTACAGGCACACTGTTGCTGTGGGTGCTGGGTCTGAGTTCAAGTCCATGACTGTACAGCAAGCCCTTTACTACCTGAGCCTCCTCCTAGCCATAACACACATTTTTGTCATTGTAAGAGGTGTGTACGTTATTAATAAAGACATCAAAATTAAACCTTATATTTGGACATGGGGGTAAATGCCTGAAACCCCAATGTGCCAGAAACCAAGGCAGGAGGATTGTAACTTCAAGGTCAGCCTGGGCTACATAGCAAGATCTCATGATAAAAATAAAACCCAACAAATTTAGTATTTATGGCTGTTTGTGATAGTATCAAATAATCATGAAAACAGTGTTTGCTCACTAAATAGTGATAATTTACCTAATTAATAGATTAGCGAATTTCAAGCATATCACAAACACGTAGGCATAGCCAACATAAAAGAGGGAAGAAATAGAAAAAAATTCTTCACTCATCACGTGCTTAAAATTTCATGTTAAATTTGCACAAGAAAGGCCGGGCGGTGGTGGCACACGCCTTTGATCCCAGCACTCGGGAGGCAGAGACAGGCGGATCTCTGTGAGTTCGAGACCAGCCTGGTCTACAAGAGCTAGTTCCAGGACAGGCTCCAAAGCCACAGAGAAACCCTGTCTCGAAAAACCAAAAAAANAAACCCTGTCTCGAAAAACCAAAAAAAAAAAAAAAAAAAAAAAAAAAAAAATTGCACAAGAAATTCAGAAAACTACCTAAGAAAGGCATGTAGCCAACGTCTCTAAGTCATGGGTGCCTGTTATATTACTAATGTATCCATCGTTTAAAGAGGCTGATTCCAAAGACGCATGAAAAAACAGCTCAGCTGATCACTGCGACATCGGCTAACTGCTGATTGCTTAAGTGGACTAGAACACGGACAGTACTCTAAACTTTCTCAATGTTGCTTCTGCTTTTAGTAAAGACGATGTCTGCGACAGCGATGGCTAAAGTCATGATCCTCATGCTGGCCGTTTGTCTTCTTGCCCAAATAGACGGGAAACCCGTTAAGTAAGTGCTGCAGCCCGTGCTGCACTGGGGAGACGTGGACTTGAGGGTCTGCGGTAGGTCTTTATGAAGCGGGCATGAGGAGCTGATGGAGTGGTCCTCTCTTTCTCTTTTTTTCTAGGAAGAGAGCTGTCAGTGAAATACAGCTGATGCACAACCTAGGCAAGCACCTGGCCTCCATGGAGAGGATGCAATGGCTGAGAAAGAAGCTGCAAGATGTGCACAATTTTGTCAGCCTTGGAGTTCAAATGGCTGCCAGAGATGGTGGTTTCCAGAGGCCCGCCAAGAAAGAGGAAAACGTCCTTGTTGATGCCAACCCAAAAAGTCTTGGAGAGGGAGACAAAGCTGATGTGGATGTATTAGTTAAGGCTAAGCCTCAGTAAAGGGCAACATCATATGCTGCTATCTTTTCAAGCTCTCTGAAGATCACCAAGTGCTAATACTTCTGTAATGAAAATCTGGAATTTTTTGATTCCACTTTTGCTCATTTAAGGTCTCTTTCAATGATTCCATTTCAATAAGTTCTTTTTAAAATATGTTACTGCAGAACTTATAAGAGAATAAATTACACATTTCCACTTCTCTCCTTAAATACAAAATAAAACTTTAGTGATCATGAATCAAATAAGTAGTGTTTCTTACTTGCTTTTGTTTGTTTTTTTGTTTTGTTTTGTTTTGTTTGTTTGTTTGTTTTGGTTTGGTTTTCTGAGACAGAGTTTCTCTGTAGCTTTGGAGTCTGTCTTGGAACTAGCTCTTGTAGCCCAGGCTGGCCTCGAACTCACAGAGATCCTCCTGCCTCTGTATCCCGAGTGCTGGGATTAAAGGCGTGCGCCACCACCACCCAGTGCATGTTTCTTACTTGTTAAAACTGTTCCTCAGGGCTGAAGGGCTGGCTCAGAAGTTAAAAGCACATACTGCTCCCTCAAATGTCTTAAATCGGTTCCAGGATCTGCATCAGTTGGCCCACAGTCACCTGTAAGACCAATTCCAGGAGGATCCAATGCCCTTGGCCTCTGCCGGTGCCTGAGATCGTATACACACACTCACATACATATAAGGAATTTAAGTAACAAAAATCTGAGTGAATCCCATATCTCTTGTCACTATGCATCCCAAACAGTTTTATTGGCATGGGTTTGTAAAACAACACAAGAAAACATTTCCTTAATTCATTTAGCAAAGTTTGATATTTTGAACATTGTCTGTTTTTAATTCCAGAGTGCTAGATCTCCAAGTTCACAATACTTGTGCACGGTTTTCCCCTTCTTTTCAGAAAACCCAATGAAATACTTAAGAAACAGGGTAGAAAGTGGTCTAAGATTAGACCACAAAGCATTTGCCATTACACAAACTCGGTGTGACCAGCATTGGCTTCTGGGAAATAAAAAAGGGAAGCTTCTAAAGTGATTGTAATGCCTAAACAGCAGGCCAGCTCAGCACTCTGCTAGTATACAGCACCAGGGTGAATGGTAAGAAACACCAGGGATTCCAGCTAAAAGGCATCCCTCCATCCGGAAGATTCCAAGAGATCCACATAGACGCTTCGCAATTTACTGTTTTAGAATCAGTTTCTTTTCTTCGCCTTTGGATGTTTTGGTAATTTCATTATGATTTCAAAGCATTTAGATAGTATTTCTCCCTCATCCTGCTTTCAACTACTCTAGGACCACGCAGCCCCCCCATTCTCTTTCCAACATCATGTCTTCCTCTTCCTCCTCTTGTATTTCAACTTTAACTAGTCCTTCTGGCGGGGACATGTCCGGAGGGTGCCATCTACTGGAGCATGGGTAATCTACCACAGGCTACGCCACAGAAGAAAGCAGACTCAACCGCTCCAGGAACATCAAAGTAAAGATGCCTCAGCTAGGATGAAGACCAGGGCAGGAGGGGGAGGTCTCGTGTGTCCCTTCCCTCTTTACTCTGCAGCACTGACTGGCTTGGTCTCGCAGTTTTTATGCCGGCAACCCCAGGTTCAATGAAGTTCTGAGTGAACTAGTCATGTTCAGAAGACATTCCGCAACAGCCTTCCCATGCCTCTGGACTTTCTAGTCTTTCTGCCTCTCGCTTTTCTGCAAGGTTCCCTGGCCTTCTGAAGTGAGGAGGTGAGATATAAGTCCTATTGAGGGCTGAGCAGGCCTCAGTTAACTATTCTCTGCGCTTTGGCCTGTTGTGATTTTCTATATTAGCCACCACTGCACAGAGAAGACTGATGAGGAGTGAGAGCTGAACTGTGGGTATAAGTATTTAGAAGGCAGTTTTGATAAAATAGTGGCCGTGGGGCCTAGGACCTCCCTAACCACAGGCTCTTAGCGAGGTTTATAACATTACACAAGAATTCCCTCATGTGGAGTGGGATGTTAAGTCCAATTAGGAAGCTGTTGACTACCCAAGAGCATTCATGATACTATTGAACCAACGGGCATATCTTGTCAGGCCACAGATTATTGGAGCTTGCAAGAGTCACGGCTGAATGGGACCTTTTTTTCTCCCCTAGGAGCCTGCTAAGCACATTCCAGCACTATAGAAGCTAGCCGGAAAGGATGATGCTGCCAAGTGAGTATCAACTCGGTTTCTCTGCATTCTGTCATCAAACTGTGTGGTGCCTTCAGCAATGGGGTCTTACCGTCACGCTCTGGAGAGTAACCGGGAGCAACGGCAGTAACTATATGCTTTGGATGGCTGTTTTTATTTGTAAAGACCTATCTTTTACTTAATCTTTAATTTTAATGTTTTTTATTATAAACAAAAATATTTTTTATCTTGTGTTGTATGAAGTTTTACTCTTTTGGCTTTTGGCGGGGGGGGGGGCACCACCCAGTTCCCAAAACAATCACACACACAGACGTATTCTTACCGACTAATGTCCCACCTTTTCTTGGCTTGTTTCTTTCCAGCTTTTTTTTTTTTTAACTTAAATTATCCCATTTGCCTTTTGCTCCTGGGCTTTTTCCTTTTCTTACTAATGTATATCTCACTTCCACTCTTGCCCCATGGCTGGCTGGGTGTCCGGGTGTCTGGGCAGTTGGGCGGCTGGCCCCTCGTATCCTCCTCCCTTGTTCTCTCACTGCTCGCTCCCTCTCTCTTCCAGATTCCTCCTTCTATTTACTCTCTCTGCCCGCCAGCCCCACCTATCCTTGCTCTTGCCTTGCTATTGGCCAGTCAGCTTTTCATTAGATTAATCAGGTGTTTTAGACAGGCAAAGAATCAAAGCTTTACAGAGTTAAACAACTATGGCATAAACAAAAGTCACACACCTTAAAATAATATTCCCCAGCAATCTTGTGTTCTTTCTTTACATTCCTTTCTGGAAAAAAAATATTTTTTTCTAGCTGGGCTTGGTGGTGCACAATTTAAATCCAAGCCCTTGGGAGACAAAACTAGGCAAATCTCTGTGATTGCAGGCCAGACACATACAAGCGTGAGACCTTGTATGTGTGTGTGTGTGTTCCTATATATAAATTTTTAAGTTAAAATATAATCACATTGTTTTCCCCCTTCCCTTTCTTCCTTCCACCCCTTCCCATGATTTCAGTTATGGCCCGAATGTTTTTATTGTGGTTACACACATGCATTTCTAAACATATAAATACAACTTGTTCAGTCCATGTCGTATTACTTGGATGTATGATTTCAGAGTTGACCTCTTGGTGTTGAATATGGTGATCTGGGGCTCTTTCTTCCCCGAGGAAGGTAACTTCTCCTACTCTCAGAGTTTTTTAGCTGTCTATCTTTCTCTGCAGTTGGGGCCCTGTGAGATTCCCTTCCACGTTAGCATGTCTATTGGTGTCTTCCTTGTTCAGGCCTTGCTTAGGCAGCCATGTTGATGAGACTTCACGCGTGTAGCTTCTCTGACATTCTTAGCCGAGGTAATGTCAGAACTTCCCGTTACTCTGACTTTACCACCTTTCTGGCCCTCAGCAGCTATGATCCCTTGGCTTTAGATGGAGGAGCTGTGTTGCGGATGTATCATTTAGAACTGGGCAACCGTATAGCTACTTGTTCTCTGCGTTTTGATTGGTTGTGGTTTTCTGAAATGATCACCTGTTGCAAAGAGATGTTTCTTTGATGAGGGTTGAGATACTTATTTGTGAGTAGAAAGACAAATATTTAAAATATACTTAAGAATTACTCTGGTTTAATAAATGGCAGTTATAGGTTCTCCCCAAGATCTCTGACCTCACTAGCCCTGGGTAATTGGTTAGATTTCCAGTATCAGGCACAACTTCCCTCTTATTGAGCAGGCCTTTAAAAAATTGCTTTATTTGATGCAAATAAAAAAATATCTAACAGTTTCTTCAAAAGTCAATAATCACTCTCTAAGGGGGCTGGAGAGATGGCTCAGAGGTTAAGAACATTGCCCGCTCTTCCAAAGGTCCTGAGTTCAATTCCCAGCAACCACATGGTGGCTCACAACCATCTATAATGGGATCTCGTGCCCTCTTCTGGCCTGCAGGCATACACACAGACAGAATGTTGTATACATAATAAATAAATTTTTTAAAATTTTTTAAAAAAAGAATCACTCTCTAAGCTGATTATTTTAATATTAATTAAAATTTGTTAGATTGGTTTCCATGCTAGGTCGTAGGTAATCCAACCCAGGGCTGCTGCTGAAACACCTGCTTTTGTCTCTTTCACAGGGAACCTAGTGAGGCTCCCTGCACAAACCCTGAAAGCTAGGACCTTCAGTGGCAAGCTTGGAATCTGGGTTCTCTTTAACTTGGGAGAAGCCTATGGGCAAGTTCTACAAACCTTTAAGCACTAAGGAAGTCTAGAAATGGCTATCAGTCTGCTGGGAAAACTAAAAAGCTGGTTAGCTGCTCAGCGCAGCCGCAGACTGGTCGCCTTAGCAATACCAACATGGTGCCGAAGATGTGGAGGATTCCCGGAGGGCTGCTGGCCTTTCATCCATGTTAGAGGGTGAAAAGATTCCCGCGTCAATGAAGGATGGCAGTGGTAACAGGAGAGGCACACGACAGGTACATCAACAAGAAGCAAAGGTAGGCGCGGGACTGCTTTCTTCTCCGGCCTCTTTACACCTGGGCCGCTGCAGGGCGGAGCTGCCCACTCTATGGTCAGGTCTTCTCCCTTCAACTAATCCTTCCAGGAAATGTCCTCCCAGCCCTGCAGAGGCAAGTCTTTTAGTTGAGAACCAGAATCACTATTACAGCTCTTTCCCTTTGTCCCAGAAAACAAACCCTTTTCTCAAGTCCATCGCTTCTGTCTTTCCCTCCTGGACAGAGGCTTCTCTCCGTGAGACAAGGGAGATCTGGCCCCCGGGGCTGGAGAGAGGAGGGGACCTTTCAGCACAGAGATCTTTGGAGTTGAACTCACAGCAGCTACGTATACCTCCACACGACGGGGTCTATCGCATTCCATCTCAGGTGGTGGAGGGGCTGTGACAAATTGCTGGCAGCAATGGACGCTAGGGAGAGCAAGTGATTTTTTTTTTTTCAGTTGTCTAATAAGATGCCTTTTTCTGCCTGTCTCCCTCCCCATTGTTTGAG